TCTTTTCTTTTCTTTTCTTTTCTTTTCTTTTCTTTTCTTTTCTTTTCTTTTTTTTTTTTTTTACCTGGGACTCCTCACTCTAGTAGCATTTCTGGTGGCCTTAATAGCTTTGGGCTCACTTGGAACCAGTGTTGACAACAGGAGATGGCTGGGCAAACAAAGGTATTGTTGTAAATGCCAAACACAAATAAAAGCCAGAGGACAAGAGCAAGCCCAGCAGAGATAAGTATTTATACGGGAAATTAATTTGTTGCCTGATGGTCATGAACTGGGCAGTAGAGCAAAGTGAGCCTTTTACAAGTGAAATTCAATCTCTGTCCACATTCTAATGGCTGTAAAACTCACCATATGAAGCTCATAATTGGTGCATAAAACTAACACTTTCCATTTTTTTCTTTCTTATTTTGTAGGCTTTATGCATTATTTAAAAAAGAAAACATGATTAAGCCTCCTGGCTTGTTCTTATTTCATCTTTGGTTCCTCTTGCTCATTTCTCATAAGAGATATTCGTGTGGATTGAGTATATTAAGTCATCTGCAATGGGAAGATGGGGCATTTATTAAGTGGGGCATTTTCTCTTGTCTAGGTGCTTCAGAAGAGGCCCAATAAAGTTGGTGCCAAGGATCCTCACAAAGCTAGGTGGGAGCTTACCTATGAAGGGACCTGCTAAGAGGTTATGGAAGTGGTTCTACCCATGTTATCACCTTGGCAGTCTCCATCCTATCAAGTGCAACTTTAAAGAAGCTGACACTGAAGATTATTTGGAAGCCATAATCAATAGTAAGTGTTCCCATCCTCATTCTCAGTGCCAGTAGATGTATTTCTTCCTTAACACAAACCAAAAGAGAAAGATAATGGAACCACTCGCAGAGGTTGATATATGTCTTCAGGACTTTATGAGACCTAGGAACTGATGTCTAGCTCATATTTGAAAACATATGGACTGTGACGTGAACTACTCTTTTCTTCAGTCCAGGACCAAGATATATTGGGAATAATTAGCACTTCCAGAATTTGGTGGGAGCCTACATCAGAATGGTAGATTGGGTCATTTTATAAGAGATTATGTAGAAGGGTGATATGACCCCATTTGAGGGGATGTAGCCAAGAGAATGAAGAGGTCATAACTGGCTAGGCTGAGAAGGCATAACTGAAGTCAGTGGAACAGTGACTAAGAGATGCCCTACAAAGTAGACAAAGGGAGGTATTTTCAAAAAAGAGACTCACCAAATGTCCCATGAGAGCAAAGTCAGTTGGGATGTCCACTATTCAGAGGACCATGACTGATTATAACACAAGCGAAGTTTATTCCACCTTTCCATCTTTCCCTTGCTTGACCAACTTTCCCTGTCTCTGGAGAAAACAGAAATCACAGCTAGGGAATATGGCAACCATATGAAGAAAAGAAAGTAAGAAAATCAACCTGGCTCCTTCTCCTAGTCCCAGACATCCAACACGAGTAATAACCGAGCTGTGAGAGGTAACAGCTAACGTTCATATGGATTAGACTTTCTACTGCACCAGATTTTTCACTACCTTGAAAAAAAGTGGGGTTTGAAGGGTTTGTTTTGTTTTAATTTATTACCTGTTGGTAACCAGAAAAGCCAATGGAGAACTTTCCAGAGTTATATTGGTTAGTGGAACCTGGGAGAGGTGAATATCAGCTTGAAAAGGGCAGAAGCAAAATAAAAATGGCTTTCTACTTATTACATGCCAAGTCCAGCTCAGACAATAAACCAGTTTTACTTGAATATATAAAGTATTTTTGTGGTAAGGATTCAACGTAACAAGGATGCGATGTGATGTCACAGTCATCTCTTCAAATTCTTATCTTTACGATCAGCTTTGCCTCCTTAAAGATATATTGGATTACAGAAAAATTTCTACAAGATTCTAACAGGTATTCCCTAAAACAACATTTCCATAGTCAAAGATACTGGTGAAAAACTAGTTTATTCAAAAAAATAAATAGGTTTTCTTACTGTAGGTCTTTTAGGAATCTTTACCAGGTTAATATGTGTTGTGAATTTACCAAAAAAGGGGGTTTGGTGTGGGTTTTTCATAGATAGATTTTATGAAGTTCAGGCATGTTCCCTCTATCCCTATACTTTGAAGCATTTTAATCAGGAAGGGATGCTGGATTTTGTCAAATGCTTTTTCTGTATCAATTGAGAAGACCATGTGGTTCTTCTCTCTTCTTTTATTGATTTGTTCTATCACATTGATTGATTTGCGAATGTTGAACCATCCTTATAACCAGGGATGAATCCCACCTTATCATGGTGGATAATCTTTTTAATGTGCTGTTGGATCCTATTTGCTAAGATCTTGTTGAGAATCTTAGCGTCCATATTCATCAGTGATATTGGTCTGAAATTCTCCTTTTTGATGGGGTCTTTGCCTGGTTTGGGGATCAGGGTAATGCTGGCTTCATAAACAGAGGCTGGAAGTTTTCCTTCTGTTTCAATTTTTTGAAACAGCTTCAGGAGAATAGGTGTTATTTCTTCTTTGAAAATTTGGTAGAATTCCCCAGGGAATCCAATCCATCAGGTCCCTGGCTCTTGTGTTTTGGGAGGTTTTTGATCACTGCTTCAATCTCGTTACTAGATATCAGTCTATTCAAGTTGTCAGTTTCTTCCTGGTTCAGTTTTGGGAGTTTATAGTTTTCCAGGAATGCATCCATTTCATCTAGGTTGCTTAACTTATTGGCATATAACTGTTGATAATAACTTCTGATGATTGTTTCTATTTCCTTGGTGTTAGTTGTGATCTCTCCCTTTTCATTCATAATTTTATTAATTTGAGCCTTCTCTCTTTTCTTTTGGATTAGTGTGGCCAATGGTTTATCGATCTTATTGATTCTTTCAAAAAACCAGCTTCTAGTTTCATTGATACGTTCTACTGTATCTCTAGTTTCTATCTAAGCCCTTCAACAGACGAATGGATAAGGAAGATGTAGTCCATATACACTATAGAGTATTATGCCTCTATCAGAAAGGATGAATACCCAACTTTTGTATCAACATGGACGGAACTGGAAGAGATTATGCTGAGTGAAATAAGTCAAGCAGAGAGAGTCAATTATCATATGGTTTCACTTATTTGTTGGAGCATAACAAATAACATGGAGGACATAGGGAGATGGAGAGGAGAAGGGAGTTGAGGGAAATTGGAAGGGGAGATGAACCATGAGAGACTATAGACTCTGAAAAACAATCTGAGGGTTTTGAAGGGGCGGGGGGTGGGAGGTTGGAGGAGCCAGGTGGTGGGTATTATGGAGGGCACATATGGCATGAAGCACTCGGTGTGGCACTTAAACAATGAATTCTATGACGCTGAAAAGAAATTAATAAAAAAAATATGAAAAAAGGGGGGGTTGGATATAGCATTTCCAAAGTCATTTGCCCATGCAATGTTTTTATTTCTCAAAATTTAGCTTTTATTCAGTAAATATTTGATGAATACCTACCACGTGCAGGCATGAGGGTTGAGTGTTGGCAGTTAGTTCAATATATCAGATGTGGTTCCTTCCCTGAAGATCTTATATTCTAATTTGCTTATTTCACTTCCTTGTTCTCTAGCATTTTCTTTGGCGAAACCTGTTCTATGACATTCTTCCAGATTTCTGTCACTGAAAAGCTATTTGTTAACACAAATGTATGAATCACCTGAACACGAAGTTGCCTTATAAGAGAGATTTATTTTTATAAAACATAATAAAAATATGCATTCACAACCAAGCATGAAAAAAAAATTTGGTCACTTTTCTCTCTCTCCTTGGTCAGTTTCAGTTGAGGATGAAAACCCCTGATAAAGTCACCTCTTTTCTCTTTTCTCCCTTGATTTGATTCCTTCTGCTGTATCAGACATCAAATCCCCACATTTTTTTCCTCTGCTCACTCAAGAAAGATCTGACATCAGCCAATTGAATTTGTTTGGCCTTCCTGTGAGGTATTTCCACAGAGGTTAGAGTTATATGTAATCTTGTGTTATCCCAAGAGATGTTCCCATATGGGTATTTCTTAGGCTATCGCTTTTCTCCATTCCCAAAAAGTCAGTCTGCATTCAATTAATTAGAGCATCTGAATCTTGATGAAGTATGTGAAAGAAAACATGGAGGATATAAATAACTTTTTTCCTGGATCCTGGGTAAAGTTTGATGATGCCCAACATTCTGCATAAGGATTAGCAGAGACTTTGTGCCCACGTAGCTGTGAACATATCAATGTCACAAGGACGTCACAATGTCACAAGGATGTCAAAGGACATGGCCCACTGGGCCTAGACACATACTTCCTCTTCCCTTCTGGTCACAACAAACTTCATGGGAATTTCCATTCCTGGGAGAGACCCAAATATCCCAGTTACTATGCCCTGAAGTGCAACCTCTTACTCTACATCCTCTATGAATTGCTGACTCCTTTCTGCCAAGTTTTTCACCAACTACCAGATTCTCTGCCCAGTGAGCATGGGTCCTTATTCCTAGGGATCTTACCTATGAAACCTTGTGGGCAAGATCCAAGAATATATGCTGAATCACAGTAATTGGGTTTATAATTATTTGGATTATCAAAGTAAGTTTAGAAAAAGTATTTTATCAATTGCTTTAGGACCTTGTCCTGCTTAACATATATCTCAAATATAGCTCAACTCCTTCCACCAATAACCATCCCATATATCACCATTTGTGTCTAAGCCATCATCATCTAAGACCACAATAATATAGGTCTCAACTGGTATTCCCAATTTTGTTTTTGTCTTCTCTAGTTTTTCACATAAAAGAATAAGTGAACCCAAAAATAAATCAGGGTTTCCGCTTCTGACCAAAACAGAGAAACAGGAACAACTTGAAACAATTAGAATATCGAAATGTGTGTGTGCGTGTGTGTGTCCCAGTTTTCAGATATTGACCCAAAGTTAGTACAGGACTGCAATCCCCCAAATAAATAAAGCAACAATGTGACTAGGAGTGACCAACCATCTTTATTTGCCTGGAACTTAGAGGGTTCCCTGAACATGAGACTTTCAGTGCTAAAACTGAAATAGTCCTGACTAAATCAAGAAAGTTGTTCATCCTAAAAGCCCTGTGATTTCACCAGCTAACTGGCATATAGGAAGTTTCCAGCTGTAGCACAGGAAAGAGGGGACACAAGTGTAGTTCATCAGACTTGATAAGTTGAGGAGATAGAGATGGAAGTTTAGAGAGACAGGAGGCTAGTGTCTGAAGGGTGAGTAGCAAAAAGAAGAAAGTTGTGCACAGGAAAGCTGCACTCTAGAGATACAGAGAAGAGTTTCCTCACATTATTGGCTGAGTTATGATCTGCACATTCAGGGGAAGCAACTAACTAAAACTGGGGAAATAAATACAAGAAAGGGGTAGGTGGCAAAACCTTAAGCTCACACAGGGCTGGATTAGTTTGTTATCCTGAAAGCAAGAATGAAAATATGCCATAATTCTGTGAACACTGGGTAGAATCCTCAGTGGGGCATTATCTCATTAATGGGGCAAATTAACCATAGCTTAAGGACTGCTCTAGACCCACTCTAACAAAGCTTACAGGATAGGTAACTGTTTCCAAGTAACTTAACCACATGTCAGGAAAAAAAATAATCTAATATTAATTTAAAAATACAACACAATTCATAAGTCCAGGAACAAATCAAAGAATACAAAAACACCCCAAAATGACAAAGATGCTGGAGCCAGCAGGCAAGTATGTAAAAATATCTTGTATAAATATTCCTTAAATGTTAAATAAGGTAGGGGAAAAGATGAGCAT